CCTTCGACCAAGGTTGACCGTGTACCGATGAAACATGTGCCATTAATCCATGTCGCGGGAGATCCAATGGTACCGGCGAATGCATTAGCTGCCATAGAAGGGGATCTTAGGAGACTCCATGGCCATGTGCTTTCGACAGAGAGAAGCCTCCTCGCCTCGGATGATCCAGGATACCCACTTTATACGGTTCATGTGCCGAGCAGTTGCAAGATGTATGTCCACACATGCCCCGCGGACCTCTTCTTCCTGAGGTTTGATTACATCTTCCAGATGTTTCAAATGAGGACACTCGATTTTACGTTCGTCCGCCTGTATGCGCTGCACATGAACTACATCGCCAGGAGAGAGCAAATCACCGGTCTTGCGGTCGCGGACCCATACTACATGCATGAGGGCTTCTTGTCAATCAACGACGCCAACCGTCAATATGCAAGTCGGTACATCGAAGAATTCTTGGTCAGCAATAAGGACAAAGAAACGATTCTCCTACCTTATCATCCCAGGTAAGTCATCCGCGGATAGCACTATAACACATACATCCTTTCGTGCATTTTAATAGTTACTTTGCACGCATGGAGGCTAAACTTGATCGTGTATTCTGCACAGCGGGGGGTGTCGTGTCGTTCTCATTGTTCTTTACCTGCGTTACTCCTGCGCTCTATATTTGGACCCGTCGAAGAACATACAGAAGAAAGATTACACACACATAAAGTATGTTCTGGACAGAGCTATGCTAGGCTTCAGCATGCGGGGTGGCTACATCCAATGCAAAAAAACAAATAAGGTCGGGCTTTGTTTCAGCCACAAGACTAACTTCTGTTGCATCCAGCAACCGGCAAGAAGTGAGAATGATGGATTCTATGTCATCCATCTAATGATGGAGTACAGAAGGGATGTGCAATCACTTTGCATGAAATCTTCATCCGATACCCATATCCAGAGATTGGCCGAAGCCTTTGGAGCCGTGCCAGATAATCGACTTCGAAATGATTTCTACCGGATCCAACAGGAAATTGTGTCCATCATCATGAAAGATGTCCTCAAAGAGAATGGGATGTTCTACGGCGGCCCAATATCGCGAGCTGACGTCCGAACCCGCATTGCCCTACAGCGTCAGGACATGACGCCTTTCACTAAGCTTGGGTCCACCCTTCCGGATATGGACAGATGGGAAGAGTGCACTGCTTAAAAACAATGTGTCTGTTTAGTTACTTGTTACTTTCTGTACGACGAAACTTCGAATCTCTTAGTACGACGAAACTATTAGATGTATGGTGCCGCTCTCTAGTTAATTACTTTCGGTACGATGAAATTTGTTAACTATGTTTACTATATATGTTGCTTCTATTTCATAGCTATTTTGTTGAATTCGCTTCATGGTATATATATATATATGTGTGTGCATCTCTGACAGGTATATAGATCAACGATGGCGAGGAAGTGGTATGCCGTGTATGTAGGGCATGTTCCGGGTGTGTATGATGAGTGGCCAGAGTGTCAGGCCCAAGTCTCTAGCTTCTCCGGCGGAAGCCAGAAAGGGTTTGATAGCAGAGCGGAAGCCGAAGCTAGTTACTTGAGATTCATAGCACAACAGGGGATTCATAACCAGCGCCGCTGCAAAAACTACTACATAATACCGCTTTTGATCATCGTGATCGCTCTTATCTTCTATGCGGTCATATCATAGTCTACATAGATGATGAAACATGAGTATGTGACCATGTAGTTGCATGTATTGAGAACTTGGAATGACTTGTAACGCTATTTCGAGACATGTGTTCGACCATGATTGATGATGATGAGATATTTGAGACATGTCGAGACTTCTAATAACTTTGGCTCATCGATGACTCACTTGCTTTTCAATGAATATGCATGTTATTGTATAAACGGTGGATCTGTTTAATTGTGTACAGAGCCAAAACACAAAAAAATACAAAAGTTAGCAGTGGCGTGGGGGTAAAGATTACCAGTAGCACTCAAGTAACAGTAGCACTGGCTAGCTCCACGCACTGTAGATAAATATAAGTAGCGATGGGTGGAAGCGCGCTACAGCTACTTTAGCTACCAGTAGCTCTGGGTTAAACAAGCGCTACTGCTAAAAAATAGCTGTAGCGACATAACAGTAGCGCGCCTACCCTCGCTACTAATAGTAAAAAACAAGCGCTACTGGTAAGGGTTTTCCTAGTAGTGGTAGATGACGTTGCATAAGCTGATGAGCCGGAGATCCTTAATCCGGTTAGGGTTCTTGACCTTCGGGATGAACACAACCAGCGTATCGTTCCACCCTTCCGGCATCTCGGCCCCATTAAGAACTGCAAGCACTTCCTCAACAACTTTATCACCCATAAAGTGCCAATGTTGCTTGTACACAAGAGAGGGCATTCCATCGGGTCCAGGTGCTTTAAGGTCCCCAATATGATCCAACGTTGCCTTGACCTCCTCCCGAGTAAATTCAGCCTCCAATATGAGTCTCATGCCCTCTGTGACCCGTGGCTCAACTTTCTGAATGAGTTCATTTATCCTTGTACCCGCTGATGAGGTGAACAATTCCTGAAAAAAGGAGCAAATATAGTTAGAAAGCCCTTCTCCCTCCTTCACCACCGATCCATCCTCCCTTCTTAACCCCTTCACTCTATTAGCCTTCCGTCTAGCATTTGCCACAACCATGAAATACTTCGTGCTTCTATTGCCATCTCGCAGCCAGGTAACATGTGATTGCTGCTTTGCTTTTATATTCTTCTTCACCTCTAACTCTTCCACAGCACACTGTAGCCTAGCCTCCTCCCTAATCTTCCTTTCTGACACCGGGGCACACATACACTTCTCCAGGTCACGTTTTGCTTTCTTTAGGCGGCCATCTAGCTCCCCCACAACTTCCTTGTGCCATTTTGTCATTCTCCCTGCAATACACCGAAGTGTGTAGGCCACATTTGTTGTCTCTCCCAGCATACCCTCCTCCCAAGCTCCTTGTATTTCAGCGCTACACCCCTCCTCCTTTAGCCACCACGCCTCGAACCGAAACCCCCTATCCCCACGGGCAGGCGTTCTCCCCTCTCCTCGAGTGCACACAACTACCGACCGATGATCCGAGTGGCGGGGTGGCCCATTGATCACAGTATAGTCTGAAAACATCTCACACCAAGCTGAGTTAGCCGTGGCACGGTCCAGCCTTTCACAAATGTAGTTGTGGATGTCCTTGCTGTGATTCCTCCAGGTATATTTATCCCCTGAGTAGCCAATGTCGCTAAGCTCTACCAAAGCTTCCCGGAAATTATCCATCATGACTTGTGGCCGTAACACTCCTCCAACCTTTTCATCATCCGAGAGGATTTCATTAAAGTCTCCTAGGCATAACCACGGCCTCCCATCCTGATGTTGTTGCCCCAAAAGTCTTAGGGTACGCCATGTATCTCTTCCGCTCCGTAACTGATTCACCATATACACCCGTTAACCTCCACATCCTTCCATCATCCTCCCGCACATCCACGTCTATATGTATCCTACCATACGATCTGAGCATCACATCTATCCCCCTTCGCCAGAACAACGCCACACCCCTACTTCTTCCTTCTGGGTTCCATGCTGTCATGCTCTCCGACCACTATAGTTATTCAAATGTTGGAGGCCTATGCTCAACTAACCATGAGCATGTTCTAATCTCTATACATAATGTCCTGGAGTACATCACAGAGGAATTCTTAATTTGGAAGGCATGGCTGCCTGGAAAAAAAATGCAAGTCCTTCGATTGGCTTATCATTCATAATTGCATCTTATACATAATGTCCTGGAGCACATCACAGAGGAATTCTTGATTATAAGTGATATCCATCTTGTCACAACACACCTGAACATGCTAGACACCTTATGATTGACCACTCATATGCAAAAGGAAGTTTGGGAACTTAGTGTAGTTGGATGGCTTGACTTGCACTCTTTATCTTTATTGTCCATGGTTAAGGAGTGGTTGTTTTTCGACCTACACTGCAATCTCCAAGACATAAGTCAAAGTAGTATCCCCTGTTATCACTATAATCACATGGATAATGTGGAAGGAGCGTGGTGGTTGGGTATTCCAAATGCTGAAAATAATCTACCGTCTTTGGTTAGGATTTTTTACCATCAAAGGATAAAGGTACTCTCTAGCACACAAAATCTCTTCCCTCAACTCTTGTGTTTCTCATTGAACTCCTTAACCCGTCTCATGACAATAAATATCTCTATATGGTTGTTTTGTAATATTGTTTGACAATACTTAGTGATAACATTAAACATTGGCATTGGCATCTCAACAACCTAGTCGGAAAAACTGAGTGGTGTCGAGTCTGGCTTGTCTCTGGGCCAAGCTCATGTTTTGTTTTACATCCGAAAAGATAACCGGGCTTCTGTTTTCAGGCATCCGGACCAAGCTTTTTAGCTTAATTATTGATTTTTTAGACCAAAATGCATGTGTCCAGACCGGGCTTCCAGGCTTGTCACCAGACCGGGCTTTTAGATAAAACGGTTTTGCTTGGTCTTCACCGACGAAGATTTTCAAGTGTCAAAGTAGATCCCTGACATTATCTCAAAAAAAAACTTAAAAAGGCAATTATTTTTCCAACCTATTTTTGCTCCGGTTTCTCCGTGGCCGTATTTTTCTGATCCAGATTCAACATCGTCTCACAGTCACCGATCAAACACAGGTTAACCGGTTTGGCCGGCGCGACGCACCCCTCCACCAGCGGCAAGCCGCCGGCGACGCCCCCGCACGCCGTGTTATAGGCCCGTCCCCGTACAAACGACACGACCTAGCCCCAAACCCACCCACGCCGCACAGAGAAGAAACAAAAATCCCGAGCCCACCACCACCGCCACCATACTCCCCTCCCTCCTCGCCACCGTCGGCTCCCTCGCCACAGGTACCGTCGCGGCCCTCGCGGCGGCTGCGGCGGGGGCGGCGGCGAACGCGGGCTCCTTCCCCCGCGCCCGCTCGGTGGGGTCGGCCGTCGTCGCGGCGGCCATGTCGACGGCCCGCGTCTACGCAGACGTGAACGTGCGCCGGCCCAGGGACTACTGGGACTACGAGGCCCTCTCCGTTCAATGGGGGTAAAAATAAAACCAGCGCCTCACTCTGCCCCTGTGTTTCTCTGTGCTATGATCTAGAGTAGAGTGATTATGCGGGAGGATCGCATCTAAAATTCACAGAACAACAATGTGTTACTGCTGGGGGATATATCGGTACATGTTGTGTTCGAAGGTGTATTATGATTTATGTTCAGTTGCAGAGGTTGGAACGGACTGGGTGGGTTGTTCTATTGCTTGATTGATCGGTGTATTATACAATGAGGAGCCATAGGAGTGAACTCTGGTTTGTAGGATTTGAAAACCTTTGGTCATCAGGCTGTGATCATTTTTTTAGGTGTCTGTCTGAGGTTCGATTGAAGCTGTTATTGAATACTCCGTCTGTAAAGAAATATATAAGAGCGTATAGATCACTGATGTAGTCATCTAAACGCTCTTTTATTTCTTTACAGAGGGAGTACTAGTGTACTACTGATGAGTGTTTTGCTATTTCAGGTCTTCTTACTATACTTGTTGTTTGAGCTGTTGTGCTTGTTAGAATTATGCCTTGAGTAGAGCATCCAGAGAACTCTATACCAGAAGACTAAAACACCTGCAAAATAGCATTGATGGAGGCCATTTAATATCTCTGTAGGAAGGTCGTTCTTAGCAAAACAGAATAGAGTTGCACCAACCAAAATGCTCAATTAGACAAATTCTATGAACGTTTAAACCATTGTCATATGACCCTCAATTGCTATCACAGTAGTGAATCCACTTTTGCTTACTGTTTCAAAATTTTGACATGTGTTGTCACCATTTTAGGTGGTGAATTTCGGAGTGAAAAACAGTAAATATATTTTGTATGGAATAAATATCTTGTTTCTTGTAACTATGTACTTAGTTTGATCAACTGATGGTTCTTCCCCATTCAGTGAGCAGGATGATTATGAGGTCGTGCGGAAAGTTGGCAGAGGGAAATACAGTGAAGTCTTTGAAGGGATTAATGTAACAAACGATGAGCGATGCGTCATTAAAATCCTCAAGCCTGTTAAGAAAAAGAAGGTATCCTTGTTTACTTTGAAGGTCTGCTATTATATTACAGCTGAGAGCCTGAGAACATCAATACATGGCGTAATTCGATGGTTACGTACTCTGCATTTCGTACTTCTCTAACTATGGTTTCCTCCTTGGCTAGTCTACTGAAAAGTTTCACCCTGATCGTGTTTAATGCCATTTCTACAATTTTCAGCTTGCAGCTGATAGGTACAACCGTACAATTAACTAGCTGGTCAAGGGATCTTATGCCTCTTCATCCATTTCAATCCATAACTCACATCTTGTGACTAAACACTTGCACCATATGATGCAACTAACCAGTTCGAAACCTTCTAATTTTGTGACCGTTAGAGATCAGTTTAGCATCAGCTCTGTTATTTAGTCTTCATGCCCTTTTCAGCTGACAAGTTTTGCCTGTTTCTTGAAGTGCGTGATGTCACTCTTGCTCATTTGTTGGCTATGCACCTTCTGCTGCATTAAACTCTATTTACCTGCCCATCGCGTCCTTTGTGCTATCCAAATATGTGATTTTTTTTCTATGCAGATAAAGAGGGAAATAAAAATTCTCCAGAACCTTTGTGGTGGTCCAAATATTATTAAGCTTCTTAATGTCGTCAGAGACCAGCAATCAAAAATTCCAAGTTTGGTATTTGAATATGTAAACAGCACAGATTTCAAAGTCCTCTATCCAACATTTACAGACTATGATATCCGGTTCTATATTTATGAACTTCTTAAGGTACACCTTGTTATTTTATCTAATCATCATTGGATGAAGTGTTGAATCTGTATCACATCTAGCAGATAATAAAGTTGTGATATATTTATGTGGTTGTACACATCTAACAGTCTAACACTGCTTTGAGCTAAATCTTTCCTGTAATGCATTTTACTGCAATGATTTTGTAGTTGCACGTCTTGTTATTTTATTATGAGAGTTTCAGTTGTTTTCCATGCATATGTTCCTTGTGAGGCTGACCCATGGGTGGTGCTTATCGATTGTTACATGTGGTCAACATCAATTGCTGATGGTGAATTATCTGGTTTGGTCCTCGTATATTGGTTAGAAACATGGAGGATAGGGTTGAGGATTTGGCTACAATAAATATGTGCAGAAACTGTAGAAGTATAATGTAGTGTCTCTAGCATGGTATGTCTAAGGCCGTAATACTGAATGTCTAGTACTTTGAATGTGAGGCTGAGCACAACAGTAAAACTTATTTCCTGCATGGCTTGTCTGGCATGTATACTTACTTACTTACTTACTAAGCCTTTTGTCCCAAACAAGTTGGGGTAGGCTAGATATGAAACCCTTTCACGAGGACTTCCCAGGAGCTCACCCATCATAGTACTACTCTCGCCCAAATGGGTCTCATACCCAAAGGACTGGCTAGTTTTTACGTTGGCTCACCAAGCCTATCACAACCCTTAGATATGAAACCCTTTCACGAGGACTTCCCAGGAGGTCACCCATCCTAGTACTACTCTCACTCAAATGGGTTTCATACCCATGGGACTGGCTAGTTTTTACGTTAAGCCTATCACAACCCTCCTCCTTTACCCAGGCTTGGGACCGGCTATGCCTAGAAGACATAGGCGGAGTTCTTGTCTGGCATGTATACTCTCTCAAATTGTTGATCGCCGTTCTGTTTTTTGTTGGATATGACGTGCCAGGTGTCTTACAAATTCTGTTATTTTTTCCTAGAGAAAATTAGCTTATAAGGGCACTACAATTTTCAGCTACATCTTTAATTAAAATAAGTGCAAATATGTCTCCAGTTCCTTGGCAAAAAGACTTGTCGCAGTGGTAGTAGATAGCCAAACCAGTGAATTGTGTTAGCGATAATTTCATAGTAACTTTTTTCAATATGCTTATGCTAATTTAGTTTTCATTTGATAAGTTAACAAACTTTGTTTGCTTCTTGTTGGAGTACAGTAAGATAACTGGCTCATTTTCACTTTGTCTCTGTAAATGAAACTAAGTATTTTAGTTTGTTGTAACTTGTAAATATAGGATCACCCACTGTGCTATTTTTTTGGTTAGTTGCTCACATTACATGTTCTGGACTTGTACCCCTAGGATTTTCAATCTTATAGGACATTTTAATGGGTTGTATTTCTTACCTAGTAAATTAATCTCCATCATTTTCTTGTTGTTTTACTGATTGCCAGCCTGCTCACATTTCAGGCATTGGATTACTGTCATTCCCAAGGAATTATGCATCGTGATGTCAAGCCTCACAATGTTATGATTGACCACGAGCTTCGCAAGCTTCGCTTGATTGATTGGGGACTTGCTGAGTTTTACTTTCCTGAGAAGGAGTACAATGTTCGTGTTGCTTCGAGGCAAGTTGATAAAATATAACACTTTGTAGCTCTGGTCATTTTTAGCAATGCGGTATCCAAGTTTCATATGTAATTATATGTAGGCATCTCTTGGTTTGATCATTAGTTCCCTGTATCAGGTTCTAGTTTCTATTCAAGAATGCTCATTGTGCATGTTTTGTAAGAAATATATACCTTACACAACAAATCATTCTGCCATCCGTCATTCCCTTGTTTTCAGGAGATCTGTGCTACTTAATTTGGCAGAGTTGCTGTTTGTTTCCAAATTTTGAATCCCCTTCTGATCTAGCAAAATCATCATGTCAAAATTTGCTGTTTTGATGGACTAGAGTTATGCATATTTGAGTAGTAAGGTTAGCGAACTTCAGCAGAGTCAGATGGATGTATAAACTCTTATGTCTGAGCTTGTAGATATTTTGACTGGAGTTTTTTCTTTATTCAGGTATTTTAAGGGGCCTGAATTGCTTGTTGATTTCCAAGGGTATGACTACTCTTTGGATATGTGGAGCCTTGGCTGTATGTTTGCTGGAATGGTGTGTTTCCTTCCTGTGATCTGTAAACATTACAATGAAATTTACAAAGACCTTGCTTCTGTGAACTACTAATGATTGAATAATTAGACGTCAATTATGATTTATTTGTTGTTCTGCATGCAGATATTCCGCAAGGAACCATTCTTCTATGGTCACGACAACCACGACCAGCTTTTCAAAATAGCCAAGGTTTGCCATTGTCACAATTGTCTTGTATTTGCTCACAGAGCCGTGTGCATGCATGCTATGCCTGAGCATAATGCATATGTGAACATCATCTTTCCTTTTTCGGTTGAAGGTATCGTAGCCAGTAACAAGTTTGTTTTTCACTTGTGAGCAGGTTCTAGGTACAGATGAACTTAATGCTTATTTGGTAAAATACAGAATTGTGCTTGATCCTCAGCTAGAGGCACTGATTGGGAGGTAACTCCCACTACTCTAAACATCTTATTCATATGGTGTAACTATAACAAATTTTGCATCAGAAAACAACCGTTTTCTTGATTTACATGCACGCTATTGCTTAACACAGGCATAACAGGAAACCTTGGTCTAAGTTTGTGAATGCTGAAAATAGGCATCTCGTGTCCGAAGAGGTTATATATTTCCCCTGTTTTCCCCGTCCATCTGTCATTTCTCAATGCCCTGTCTAATTGCTGCGATACCCTATGCAGGCCATCGACTTTCTTGATAAACTTCTTCGCTTTGACCATCAAGATAGGCTTACAGCCGAAGAAGCCATGGTTTGTTTCTGCACCTATCCGTTCATAATAATTTGAGATGCAAATAGTGTGCTAACCAACTTGTTAACCTGGAGTCAGCTTATACGATGGTGTGTCCACAAGTATTATCCTTGGACAATATATGACACGTTCCTTTTGATCCCACCGCAGGCGCATGAGTACTTTCATCAGGTGAGGGCAGCAGAAAACAGCAGGGGGAGAACGTAGCCAAGAGCCCAAGAGAGCCAAGAGAATTGAGACGCGAAAGCTGCTTCTGTTGAACAGTCGTGGAATTAGATCCATCTAGCATTGAATTGATGCAGAAGTTGATTACTTGACCTGATGGTTGGGATGCTGTCATGAATCTCTGATTGGCTCCTGAAATTTTCTTTATTTTCTTTATTACTTGGAAGTTTAAACCGCGAGTCTACAAAACAGACAGGCTACGCGTTGTCATGACTTGATGATTAGTTTTTATGCAACTAAAAGTTCTTGATATTACCCCTCAAAAAGAGGTTCTTGATATTATGTTTTCGTTAGGATTCTGGGCTTAATTTGAGGGACTGTTAAAAAAATGTTTGTGACGTTTCAAAAAAATGATCACACAACTTTTAAGAAAATGTTTGTACCAAATAAAAACTTATATGTGTTTCAAAAAATGTTTGTGACATTTTTAGAAATATTATGCAATGTAAAAAATATGTGCTTAATTAAAAAAAACAAAAAAATTTCTGTGGTGGTTTTTATCGTTTTTTGTTTTTCTGTGTTTCTATAATTTCTTTCTTTTCCTTTTCCTTTTTTATTCACTATTTTTCTTCTTTTTTTGTGTGTTTCTTTATCAGTCTACTTTGTTTTTTTTTCTTTATTCAAATACATGTCAAGTTTTTCAATACATGTTGTATATTTTTCATATATACATGTAACATTCTTTTATATACATTGAACACTTTTCAAATAAATGATTAACATTTTTACAAAAACATGTTTGCAACATTTTCTTTGACCAAATGTTAAACATTTTCAATACACATTGAATATTTTTTTGAATGGGACCAAACATTTAAAAAAATCACGAACATATTTTTTGAAATGCTTGAACAATGTTTTATAGGTTACAAAGTTTTTTTTTGAATGGTATGATTTTTATATATTGTATACGCATTTTAAATGTCACATAATTTTTTCTGGAATGTGTGAACATTTTGTAAATGGCGCGTACATTTTTTATATTGCATAATAATAAATTGTCATGAATATTTTTTGAAACACGTGAATTTTGAATATGAAAAACACTTCTTAAAAGTTATGCGAACAATTTTTGTATTGAGTAAACATTTTAAATGGCACAAACATATTCTGAAAATGCATGAACATTTTTTAAATGTCACCGTCATTTTATCTGAATGCTATCAATATTTGTTGAAGTTACGCAAACATATTTTTAACACTGCATGAACATTTTTCATTAAACGTGTGATGAACTCTTTTAGTTTATATATAGTTTTCATTTAAGTTGTTCTAAGCAATTTCGTAAATTTAAATGAAAGTAATCTTTTAATATCTAAAAAGAATCTAAGGTTCCTTTTCCTACTAGACGGACCGCATTCTACCCACCTTTGTCCATCCACCCCACCTTTTTTCCCTGATTGACAAGTGACGATTCAATTCAATCATCATAATTACATGACCCGATGGGGCACACGCGTCACACTTTCCCTTAAAAATCGAAATCACCATAATTACATGCGCCAATGGGAGTTTAACCTTCCCTTAAAAATCGCAATCACCATAATTACATGTGTCAATGGGCGTCACACCTTGCCTTAAAATCATGTCAGATATCACTTACACGAAAATCACGTCGCAAAACGTTGCCATTGATCCGCTACCTCTGATGCTGCAGAAACGAAGCCTTACGTGCCGGAACGACACAGCCTGGATGCCGCCACCGATGTAGCCGATGTCGCCGTCACACGCCTCGACCGCATGCCTGGACGGCACGGCGAATCTCTGCTTGTAAGTGTTGTTTCTTTCATTTGATCGGATTCTTCTCTCCCCGTGTATGCATGCCATGACGTAAATGCATCCGCTCGATCTTTGCTTCTAGACTGGGTCATCGTCAACGTGTTGCTGGCTAGCCTTGGTCTGCATGAGGCTGTTGCTCGTTCTTCGCAGCATCCGTGCGGTCCATCTGTCCAGCCACATCTCCAACTTCCTCTGCGCCAAGACCAAGAACACAAAGGATGGACAAGCTCTAGCCTTCGCTAAGCAGCAGATGTACCAACCAATGGCACTCTTCAGGACAGTGCTGCTACGTGGTAGTCATTGCCCAGTGGGCATTGGGATGTGAATTGCTATTTAGTTGCACCAAGTTAGCCAATTCTAATATGTTTTCTCTCTTCAAAAATTCTAATCAATTATAAATGCAGATCCTCTTGCATCTTGTCTACTGTCAAAGCATTGTCGTCCACTAAGTTCGCCGGAAAGAACAATCACCACATCAAATGCTATGGAATGACGGAACCTACCATCTGCACAATCGTCAGAGGGGACGAAATTGGGCCCTGTTTAATTGAAGAGGGAAGTTAATCTTTATGATTCATTTGCATCGAGAATTGTGCATCATATCAGTAGCTAAACACAAAGTATTGTAAGTCACATCGGTATAATGGACGTACAATGCGACACGGATTTTAGTAGTTCCTATTAGTTGACGTTGGAGTGTGCTATTTTTCTTTTAGAATCCAATTTTGCGTAATTAGTATGCATCTCATTAGAATGAGAATGTTACTAGGCCATTATTTATCTCCCCTCTAATACAATTTAGTTCTATTAATGTAGTATTCCACATTTCTACCAATTCAAGAATTTGGCAGTATTTTCCCGGAAACAACGAGCCTCCTCGTCGATTTTTATTATAGAAATCATTTTTGAAAACAACAAGATTTGCTCCCGTATACTATGCTCTTATTGTGTATTATAAGATTTGGCTCCCGTGACAACGCACGGGCACATACCTAGTAAAAAAAGAATCATTTTTGAAAACAACAAGATTTGTCCCTGTATACTATGCTTTTATTGTGCATTATAAGATTTGGCTCCCGTGGCAACGCACGAGCACATACCTAGTAAAAAAATAATAAGGGAAATGAAGCAAGCGCTTGTCGGCGCTGGACCAGCCAATTAAGAAAGCGCTTGAGGAGAGGCAAATTGCTGCCCCGGACGCAGGCCTCGAAACCGCTACTTGATCGGTGATATGGGGCCATATTGCAGTTCCTTTTCTAGTTCCATTGGGCCCTAGCATGAGCGTCGCCCTCCAACGGTCCAACCCGCAGTTCGTACTTCGCCGCCATCCCCTCCCCTCTCCCGCGGGAGCTATATCGCACCTTAAACAAGATGAAATCTGCTCTCGCTGAAGGAAATAGCAACTCACGCATGCAACTGGGTCGGCCCACTCACTAACACTAAAATGTAATAAGCGAATAAAAAGGAAGCTACCGCTAGTTGATGGGTGATATGTATGAGCCGATATTACCATTCCTTTTCTAGTTCCTTTGGGCTCTAACAAGAGGGTCGCCCTCCAACGATCCAACCCCAAAGTTCG